GGTTTACCTGCACTGCATTTGGGGTGTGTGATTGCAGCATTTTGCAACATACATACCCAAGCTAACTTTAATCTAGCTAGCGCGGGTACCAACAGTACTGAAGCCACAGTAGCATGGACTTCAGCGCAGACCAGTTGCTTGAGTAATTACCTAAGGTTCTGGACAGGCTTGAATGGCCTGTGTTGAAGTCTGTCCAGCTGCAGCTTCACTGGTCAGGTACCACACTAGCAAGGTTAAAGCTAGCTTGGGTATGTATGTTGCAATCACACACCCCAGTTACAGTGTAGATGTACCATGAAACATATACAACATCATCTCCAACTATAACATACAGTGAAATGTTCTCCACAATCAGTAGGAGGACACAGGTAAACAACACACAATCTATATGTAGAGGGAGACTGCACAACTGCCACCCACTTGCCCTGATATTGCAAGTGGAAGCTTGTGCTCTACTTTAGCAAGAAAACAGGCCCTGCCCCTACCTGCCTGTTGGACTCCGGAGTTATTTGCTCCATAGCCAGTTTTCTGGGAAATTGCTTTCAACAAGAACATTCTCTCGAGAGTGAAAATAAAACAGAAAATACACTAAGTTCATGGAACAAGCGAGGGAAGTCGCTCTTTTGGAGCATTTCACTGCTCCAGTTCAGATGAGCTACACTGGTGTAAACTGGAGTAAGTCTGACTTTACACTGGAGCAGCACATCACCACCACCTTGGTTCCTGTGTAGCTGCATTGGTGTAAGACACCCTTGCACAGACATGACTTTAGAAAAGGGTAAGAAAACAGAAGGGAAAAAATATATGTAGAAAGAAGGTTTAAACCAGAGAGAGGCAGACTAGGCCTACGTAGACCCCTAATGAGAGATCCACTGGAATGAGAGATCAGCTGGAAATCATGTAACCCACCGCTCAGCTCCACTGCTTCTCTGCTCTGTTGTGCCACTGTCCCTGTGCCATCTCTCCCACTAGCCCCATGGAACTCTGGGAGGAAATTTGCCACAGGCCCCACAGCACGAGGGCTGCAGGCAGATGCAGGAACCCTGTCAATGTGGCTCCAGTGGAGTCTCACCGCCAGGAAGCTGTAGGTGTGTGGGAGGTTGACGTGGGGCAGGGGTTGGGTGCATGCATGTGTGTGGGAGACCCAGATGCAACACGGAAACCCATGGAAGGTCCCTGAGATTTGGGAGCAGAACCCACAGCCTGTTTTGGAGGGGTGCAAAGCCCACCATAATGTGAACGGGGCCAAATGTCAGCCAGAACTGGAATGATCTGGTCCATACTGTAGTTTCCATATTCTGGGTGTGCAAAAATCACACGACACTGCACCTGCTGTGAAGAAAACAGGTGTCTCTATTTTTATATATGTGCTGCAAACGCTGCAGACATACCATAACTGGGTGGGTTAAAGATAGACTTTCATCTTTAAAAATGTATTTAAACTACACAATGAGACTTTAGATGTTACATGTAATGCCACCAACACAAGTGTAAAAACGGGGAAATGAACAGTTCAGACATCAGCAAACCATTTGCAAGCAGAAATCTTCGGCATAATGCACGCTCCTCGTAGCACACATTTGCCTGTGCTGCTAATATAGAAACTGCACTAGTCCAAGTTTGTTTCTTAGAAATTACACATGAGGCCTGACATTCCTACCTTGATTAAGTGTAACATTTTCACTGCCTATGTATGGTGGAACCACTCTAATCCTGGTCCTAGAGCATAACTAGAGCAGCTATGCTGTGTGCTGGGGAACACTTTGGAAACTGGTGGTGAAAGCAGAGGGGTCTAAAACTGGAGTAGGCTACACAGCGGCATCTATGACCCATTCTATATAGTGGGCCATGGCCCTTGCCCTATATGCCATCAGATCCACCTATCACAGTGGCTTCCTATGGATTTGTGGTGGGCTGTGAACCCCATGAAGCCAGGCTCTGGCATAGGGTGTGTGAGTAGCTAGCTCTGTGTGGCATCCTCAAGGCCTGTCCTCAATGAATCCACATCAGTTCTACTGTAGGCGGAACCCTCTGCAACCCTGGTGGAAGGGCAGGTTTTGCCCCATAACCAATTGCTACTTTACCAATATCCTGAAATAAATCCTATAAGGCTTTCACACTTAATTTTTCAGAGTCTGGAAAATAATATTCCTGGTTTGAGTGAACTTTTCAAACATGGTAACATAAGAACGCATAGCAGTCTAGGATCAAGATGTTAGCCTCCCAGAAGAACTGGAGCCAAAATTGGATTGCTCTGTGTGTGTGTGTGTTGGCGGCGGGAGGGGGGCTACATCTTCTTAGGATCAGTGGGGTTGGAATCCTGAGGTTAGTAATAACATATGCAGTCTTCCACTTCTAGGAGAAATAAGTGACTGGCCAAATTATTATTTTTTTATTTTTATTATTCCATTAAACCCCAATTTGGTAGTGACTGAAAAGACATTGCAATATGTGGCCTATGGGAAATCAATAGGCGAGCTGACCCATTTCTAGGTGGATATAGTATCCACATCCTACAAGCAACCCTCACAACTGGCATTAGTTGTGCCTCCAGAGAGGCTCTGGATTGAATAGACCAGCGGAACTGTCTGACTCTCACTCTAGAATAGGATTAAGGCATGTCAGTGGGACAGTGTGGGGAAGCTCATACTTCTGCAGTCCACCCTGACGCTGGTCTGCTCTTCGTGGATTTCTGTCTCCAGAGTTGTCAATCATGCCCCTTTCACCAGCTCAAAATTAAATCGGTTTTAATATTTTTTTTTAAAAGAAGTGAATCATGAGGTGAGAGATGCTATTGGTAGTGGGATCCCATTAAATAGTGAGGCAAGTAACTGCAGAAAAGGGAGCGCCTTGTTACAATAACCCTGTACTGTAGTTTACTTCAGAAAATCCTGTGCAGTCAAAACATCAGCCTAGTTTCTTAGCAGGTTGCTGATTGCTCAATTATCCAATTGTCTATTTGTAGGTCTTTTCAGCATTATTCAAGGCTGAAACAACTTTAAACTAAAAAAAGAGAAAGTAGGTTGTGAAATTTGGTTGCCAACCCCTGGATTATGTATTTTGTTTTCCCCGTTATACTGTAAAACGACTGTACGGTTGCATTTCCTTCCACTCTTGCATGGCAGAACATTAAATAATAGCATCTGCACTATAATATATTTTCTTCACTTACATAATTTGATTAATGGGGGCGGGGAGGAGGATCGTGTGGTTAAGACATAGGACTGGTTATCAAGTGATCTGGGTTATATTCACAGCTCTGCCACAGACTTCCTGGGTGCCTCCTATAACCTCTGTAATCACGCTTCCTAATATGTAAAATATTGTCCTTCCTTACGGAGTTATTGTGAAACTTAATTGATTATTGTTGCTAAAATGCTTTGAGAATCTTGCATCTAACTGAGTCCCTTGCTATAACACTGTGCAGAATAGGATTGTTACGGTCATGCCTGTGCTAAGAGTTGGTTGACGTATGATAACGAATGTCATTTTCAACACTTACATAACTATCGGGAGTCTTCTAGAAGATGACATGCTTTAAATCTAACTGACATGATTACAGACAAAAAAAATACACCTTTCCATGCTAGTATTATGCCTGTATTTAGTTTGGGGTCTTGGTAGGTATTTTTATTTTTATTTTTTTTGTTTTGTTTATTTTCTGATGCAGTTTCACCTTGATAAAATACTTAGCAAAACCACAAGACAGTTGCATTTCATCTACAAGGAAGGATAGGGGGATTAGCACTAGTATTCTAATCCCAGATAATCCTCTTTGGTAAATCGGTGACCTGCTCTGTGCCTCGGTTTCCCCATCTATAAAAAAGAATAATACCAAACTCACTAAGGATTAGTCAGTGTCTGGAAAGGACAATGTAATCATTATTTTATGTGCTATTAGAATATTACTAACATGTCAGTGTGTCTTTGTAAATCAAATCTACATTGTGTGTCTAATTTCTAATATGCAAAGGTCCCAGGAAACTTTTTGAACAAGAAGTAAAGAGGAAAACATTTTGCTGCTGTGAATAAATAATGGAGGGATCTAATATTTACCTGAAATGGAAAATAGATGCAGGTTACAGCAAATGTAACAGTGTAAAAGCCACAAACAAAATGTGATAAGCTTTCAAATCCCTGAGGATTCAGCAGTGCAACAGCTATTACGTTCACTAGGAAACACAGGATTAAATCTGTGTAACACAGTGAAAAAGATACCTAGTCTGAGATTTGTTATCCCCTATATGTGCAATATGGTTCATTAGTCAATGCAAATAGAACTGAGAAATTCCTGATTTTTTTTTAAAAAATAGAAAAGCAGGATTATTGAAGTGTATTGTTCACATCTGCACATTTTTCAGAAGTTGGTAAGTCACTAAAAACCTAGTCAGTTATCAAATGAAACTTTTAAGAGACAATTGTAAAGTATATTCAACAAATATTGTAGTGTCTATATTTAATAGTCATGCATATTTATTTCAAGCGACTGAAGTAATAACAAACTTACCATTAATAGAAGCAATTCATTTACTGCTGTGCACTATTTGTCAGTCAGTGACCCAATCTACTTGTAGAGTACAAGGAAAAGCAACACATGTCCCCTTACAAATACTATCCATCATTAAATTAGTGGGAAGGAAGGAAAGCAGCTGAAACTTACTATCATTACAAATGTTCCCAGGAATTCGGACAGGGCTTCTTTTATAAAGCTGTTCTTCAAGGCAAATTTCTCCTTGAATGTTCTTTTGCTTTGCCCGTTCATTTTTTTGTTCCTCTTGTTGCTCTGTAATGCCAGTTATGCTCCAGCACAGACCCCTCAAATTTGCTTTGTAATCATCCCTGCTTCAGCTGAACTTTGACACTTTTACTTATACATTGAAATATGAGATTTTGACATCTGTGCAGCCAGTGAAATCATCTGACTGTGCAGGCATTGACTGGATCCCCTCAACGTGACCTGATGATGCATCATAAGTTTTCCATCCTGTGTGATATCTGAGTTTGCTGGCTTCTATTTATATTAGCAGAACTAGATAATACTGGAAACCTCACAATCAGAAGCTGATGAACTTTTTTTCTTCTAATTCCACACAGAATGGATTAATCATTGTCTTTCCCCCAAGGTTACCTTTTACCAAGGTAAACTTTTGTGTGTTTATTTCCCCAAAAGATGAGAAGGAGAGAGATTATATAAACTGCCAAATATGGAAGCAAGCCCTTGGTTTTGCTCCCGGATGGGATTAAAGTTACGCAGTTGTTGGCCATTTGATACCTTTCTGCAAAGGAGGCGGTGCCAGTGAGTGAGTGCTTGCCAAAGAAATGTGCTCTAGCCTTTATTTATTTATTTTTTTAAAAAGGCACATTCTGTACAGTTTAGAGAGATTTCAGTGCCTATTGAAGAATGCTGCTTTAGAAGTGCTGTGATTTTGTACATTCATGGACTGAATAGTAATACACTGCTTGGACTAAATACCTTAACTCTCTAGTGATGAGAGAGCCCTGTTAATGAGAGAGCAATGAGGCAGAATAATGTAAACGCCTCTGATGAAATCTGCTTCAGTCCAGTGGCTTTTACAGTGTGGTATAGTCTGGTGAGGCACTGGAAAAGAGTGTATGCCTCCCAAATGTTTAGCTTAATTGTAGAAAAACTGACTAGGGGCTTGATCCTGCAAGGTATTCAGGACCTTATTTCCCACTGACTTGAAAGAGAGCTGAAGGTTCTGAGCACACTACAGGCCCAGTGTGGAATAATATTTCTACAGTGAAACATTCATCTACTTTTCTTTAAGAAGCTATTAGCATCTTGGTTGTTCCTATCAGATGTGTCACTGACTCAGCTGACACATTGATTGATTGACTTGAACAAATTGACACATTGTTTCATCCGTTGGCTTTGTTTGTATTAAGTACAGGAATACCCAGAGCCTAATCCTTGTAGGTGACTTCATGATGAGTTGGGGATGCATAGGGTCTGGTGCTGTGTCTACGCATGGGGTCTTTTGGATCCCTGGTATATTTTTACACTGCATTTAGACACCTGTGGCTGTCCTGTGTCAGCTGACTCAGGCTCACACGGCTTGGCTAAGGGGCTGTTTAACTGTGGTGTAGATTTTTGGGCTCAAGCCCAACCTCTAGAATGTTCGGGGGGGGGGGGGAGGAGAGGGTCCCAGAGCTCAGGCTCCAGCCTGAGTCTGAAGGTCTAACCTGCAATTAAAGACCCCTAGTCTGAACCAGCTGACATGGGCCAGCCGTGGGTTTTTAATTGCAGTGTAGGCATACCCACAGTTCTCAGTGGCTGCAGTTCCACTGGTGGGTTAGATGCCCCGGTAGTAAAGATGTCTAAGCCTTGTTTATGCTATTCCTGTCTCCAGCCGTGCTGCACCCATGGGGTATTTTGTGTCTGAAATATGCTAGTGTTAATAAGGCTATGTAGAAGGCAGCAGCACCTAGCAGCATCAGGAATATAGAGCCTGACCTAAAGCTGACTAAAATCAGTGGGAATTCCCATTCCCATGAACGTCAGTGGGTTTTGGATCTGGCCCATCCAGAACAGGGCCTGATTCTGCAGGATCAGGATAAGGGTAAAATTCACTTCCCTCACCCAGGAGTCTTCTACTCCAATTGCTTCAACTGAGTTATTCCAGAGATCACTCTGGTTTGGTGCAACTTTGGAGTGTAATGTGATTATAATTTATTTATAATATTTATTATATTTATAATAAATCCCAATTTATTACATTTTGGGAGACACCTTTGCACCAAAGCTTCATGTTCAGGATATTAGTTATTACAGCACATAAAAGATACAACTTTATTGTGGCTATGAAAGGAAAAGATTTGCATAATTATTTGTGTAAAAAATTGCAGCAGGTTCCTGAGGACATGTTCATTACAGCAAGAATGAGGTGAATACGGTGTTTCTTCCTTGAAAGATGAGACATAAGTGGTGTACTTAAGAAAAGTAATTGATTAAGAAGAATGTCGATAGCAATTCCTTCTCTAACAGAGGCCTAGATTGTGGCAGGTAGCCACAGCCCTGAGTAGGGAGGCAATGAAGAGCTGCATTGTTCCAGAGTTGCACTGCATTTCTGTACCTCTTTTCATTCTCAGAGGGCTGTGTGGTGATCACCTCATTAATCCTCACAACAGGTGTGCAAGGTTTGGTAGCCCCATTTTTGGTAGCTGGAGATACTGTGGGGGAGAGTTGGCTGAAGTCACAGGGTAGAGTCAGTGGCACATCCAAGATTATGTGTCAAGAGCTCCTCATTCCCAACTCCATGTTCCTTTCTCCAGACCACACTGCTTTCCCCATAGTGCTTTTGTTCCTTGGCTAGGTGAGCATAACTCTGAGAATCTGCTTTCTAGTGCCAATACCTACACTTAAAAGATCAGAGTTTGCTTTCTTCAAATATTCTTTAATATTTGCTTAAAATTTTCAGTTTTCACATATATTCCTCCCATTAAAGTCATTGGCTAGACTCTTTGCAGAAAGCCAATACAAAAGGGGCACAAACGCAGCTGTAGTGAATTCAGTTTATCATTTGAGTGATAATCACAGCAGGTTTGTTGAAGTATTCTCCCAGTTCTAACAAATATCTAGATGGCATTGGGGGTGGGGGGGAAAGAACATACTAAATGTAAGGAAAAAGAAATACTATTAAACATTTAAAACCTTAATTAGTAATCCATGCAACCTACCTTTCCTGTTACTGCTCCTTTACTACATAGAGAGCTGGACTGCCCAGTTAAACAGTGGTCGGATGATAACACCATGATTACTGTTTTCTACTAATCTCACTCATTCTCAGGTTTACCATCTTGGCCCTGCTCGCGATGTCATAATGGTAGGAATACTGGCACTGCCAAACAGATGACAGGAGCATCCTTCAAGACTGTCAGGGTAGCTTAGAGCTTAAAAAACTGACAACTGGGATGTAACTCCCCGGGTCCATGCAGTAAGCACCACTGCTCTGCACCAGCATCTCTGGACTGTGATTAATCCTGGCCTTTGATCATCGCTCACGTGGAAAGGCTGCTATTACTGCAAAGAGGTGGAGAAGGTCGCACATGTGCAGAACAGCGCAAAGAGGCTAATACTCTCTGCCTGTAGTTTATTGATTTTTGCTAATGATGTTTCATTTGGACTTGAGTTTCCAATTTGTGTAACATATACAGTTTAAGTATCATTAAACAGAATTCAGGTGACTGAAAGCAGGGAGGCCAAAGCTTTTTAAAAAAGGGAAAGAATGTCTACAATATTAATGTGATCCATTCTTGAATGTACCTATTCTGTAACCTCAGAACTGGGCCCCATAAATTGTCCCATTACATCCGTGAAATCTGCATTAAAGTACTTTGGCCCTATGTCTATATCCAAGCAGACTAGGAATGAGAAAGGCTTATATAGACTGTATTATTCTACCTTCCTTACGTTCCCCCTCATGCTTTGTCCTACAGAAATAAAGAATAATGCTGCTACATATTGCTCCCAGAGCTTAATTCTCAGGGGTAACAATATATACAGCACTGAGTTCTTAACAGTATAGTATTCCGAGTATCACATAAATCATTATTGATGTAAGTGATAAACCCAACATAGCCAGGGTGAGCAAGTTTATTAACATGCAACACAATGCACCTTTCAGTATTTGTATAACATGGGCCAAATTCTTCCCTACTGTAAATCTGTTGGTTTTAGTTGAGCTAATATGCCCATTAGCTGTATTTCCTGTCTGTATGCAAGTTTATTCACCTAACTTACATTTTCACAGAAAAATTACTACACGGTTTTTGAAAGATTTTTCTCTAGTAAGTGAATCATTGCTACTGCTGGTGCATTCAAAGAAAGCAACTATTTTATGATGAAGAGCTGAACAGCTTCAAATACAGCATTACTGATTCTTTGCATACCCAAGGAACACTTCTGCAGACCATCTTTCCCTTTCTGGTCTGCCTCCATCTATCCTTTGCTGTCATCTCTGATGCATAAGTGCTAATGTGAATCAGATATAGGAGTAAAAGATCTCAGTCCATAGAAGAAACATCAGCCCCTTGGAGTGACAAACTTGAAAGATACCTATGAATTCATGTTACTTCTATTAGTAAACACTGTAAGCATATTCCACATTGGCTATAGCCTTAAGGGCCTGATTCAAAACCCACTGCAGGCAGTGGGAGTCCTGTAAACTCCTTGGGGCAAAGCCAACAGCTCTCTGTTCTGTAAAAGGCTGAACACACCATGAGGTCCCAGGAAATAACAAATAATGATAACATTTTAGAAGATACAGAAGTGCAGTGTGACAGGGTGCTGGGCACGAAGTGCTTAATCAGCCCCCTGCCACACCAGCTCCAATCAAGGGGAATGGATTGGGGCTGGCTGAATAGCCCTGCCTACTTGGCAACTAGAAACAGTTGCCAGCCTAATTAGCCAGGGGAGTGGGCAGGGGGGAGAAAGGCCAGAGGCTGAGAGGGGCTGGTGGCTCTAGCCTGTTGCTGGTGAAGTCTGGCTGTAAAACCCTGTACATAGATAGCTGGTGGTGGGAAAGACCTATCATTAAAATACACAGTGATTGCATGGACCTAAGGTGTTCCTGATTGGTTTTGTAAGGGCAGCGGGGCAGAAGCAAGAGGGGCCCAGCAGCGCCTTGCTACACACGGGGGCTTGTCTGGGATATGAAGCCAGCATGAGTGCGTGGTGGCCCGGAGATGGAAAGGATCCTGCAATGGCTAGCGAACAGGGCCGGTTTTAGGCACTGTGGGGCCCGATTCGAATACCCGGCGGCGGTCCAGGTCTTCAGCGGCACTTCGGCAGTGGGGGGGGGGTCCTTCACTCGCTCCGGGTCTTCTGCGGACCCCCCACCGCCAAAATGCTGCGGAAGACCTGGAGCGAGTGAAGGACCCCTCGCCGCCAAAGTGCCGCCGAAGACCCAGACCACCGCCGGGTGAGTAAAAAAAATTAAAAAGGCGCTCTTCTTTAGGGGGCGGGGCCCTCTTAGGCGCGGGGCCCGATTCAGGGGAATCAGTGGAATTGGCCTAAAGCCGGCCCCTGCTAGCGAAGCAGCAGGAGGAGATGCAAAAGGTGCTGCAAGCCTTCCAGCAGTCCCACCAGCTAGAGAGGCAGGTCTTACTCACCAGAGAACCCTGCAGGACTTTATAACGGAGCAGGCTAACATGCAGCAGCAGCTCCTACAGCGACTGGTGAGTCCCATGTGGGGTGATGGGCACCCGGGCAACGGGATTGGGCCTGTGTAAGATGGGCCCCGCCGATGACCCT